CCTTTTCTCAAGAGCATAGAACCTTGACAAGGCATGATCCCTAGAGTTACCCAATTTTTCGACAGAGTCAGACAACGGAATTTTCACAATAAATTTACCACTATGTGGATCCCTTCTAGTGGTCTCTATATACAACTTCTCACAAAAAATATCACTTGAAGACATTTTCTTTTTAATAGCTGAGGTGGCTCTTCCACTAACCAGAACTTTTCAACTTGCTTTTCCAAATTAAAATCATTTGTCTGTACAAAATTACAACGACGCATAGACATAGTAGGCACCAGAATACCTCCTGACAAAACCCAACCTAGTTTAGTCTTTTGCATGACTGGTTGATTTTCTCCAAGCCTAATCTGACCAATACAAAGACGACTATAGAAAATTTCTGCCCCCAAGAGCATATCGATATCACCTGGTAGTGCTAAAGAAGGATCAGCCCATTTTAGATGCTTTGGGATATTTAAATGCGAAATATCCAGTGGTTGACTAGGAATACAATCTCCAATTCTATCAACAACCAAGCAAGAAACATCTACTTCAAAAGCATTATGAAACGAACGTATTTTTACAACACATTTAGCTTTGATATCAGAAATAGACTGATTTATTCCAGCAATAGAAATATTCACTCCAATAGTGTCCATTTTTAGTTTTTTAAGCAGTTTCACAGATATTAGATTTGATTGGGAACCACTATCCAACAATAACCTACAGGTTTCAAAATTACCATTATTATTTAGAACTTGCACCATTGCAGTAGACAAAAGAACATCTGTTGTACAATTATTATTCTGGCAAAAAGAAGACATATTTATTTGTGAGGTACTTGCGGTTTCATTTATCTGTTCAACATCAGACTCCTCCTTCACTTCTCTGCCAGCACTAGTGCCAGGAAAAACATTTGCACTATGTTTACTTTTATCATAATGCAACAAAACATTGTGCCTAGCACCACATTTTCTACAGCCTCTTGATGTACAATCCTTACTATGGTGGCCTGGTCTCAAACAGTTCAAGCACAATTTTAGTTTAACACATCTTTGAAACCTATAATAGGAATTTAAATCTAAAAACTCTCTGCAATTTTGAATAAAATGATTGTTATCATTACATAAATTACATCTTTGATTAAATGTCACAAAACTTTTATTTTTATATTTTACATCTTTTTGAAGATTTTTCCTGGAATTTTCCAAACCTTCCAACATATCAGCTTTTGATTTTAGAAACGTTTCAAAATCCTCCAAACTAGGCAAAGTATTTTTAGATTTTTTCTCCTCCCATTCCCTTTTTGTGCATGAATCCAATTTTGAGCTAACAAGAAATATAATAATGACATCACATGTGTCTGTGTTTACACCTAAGGTGTTGAGTGACCTTAAATTTTTGACCATAATATCTAATAATTTTCTCAACTCTGCCGAACATTCTTTCTGCATTTCGGATAAGTTTGTCAAATATTTTAAACTATTATTAACCAATAATGATTTATTATCAAAACGTTCTAAAAGTAAGTCCCATGCTGTTTCATAACCACTTTCAGAAAACTCTAAAGTATTGATAAACTCTTTCGCGTCTCCGTCCAATGCCCCTCTTAAAAAATGATATTTTTGAATATTATCTATATTTTTATTATTGTGTACAAGTGATTTATACGTATCCCTAAATTCTAACCAATTTTCCTACTTTCCGGAAAATTTAGGGACAGGTATTGACGGCAGTTTTGCTAGGGTTTTAGTGACTGCACCACTCTGTATATTTTGCACGTTAGAAACACCTTGTAAATGGGATACATTTTGAGAATTCTGCGAGGAATGAGATTCTTCTGATCCATTTCTATGAAAATTAAAGCGTTTCAAAATTTGCTTGGCGCCTGTTAAGTATTGAAAATACAGATCTTGAAATTTCTCTCTTTCATTCATATGCAACTCTAGATGCTCTTCTTCGACAGAAATTTCAATATCATTTTGTATACACTCAAATTCAGAAAAAATCTCGCCCAATTTTTCGAGACGTAAATCAAGTTCTACAAGCAAAGCCTTGTCAATTTCATCATTTCCAGAGTCCTGACCTGTAATTATAGCATGGTCTATTTTGTCCAAAAAATTTCTAAAAAAAGTAGGTTTTGCTTTTATTACTCCGCGTTTTCTAATTAACAATTTTAATTCATCACCCATTTTATTCGCTTACGAATGTAAAGACGGTGGTAAAACAAATAGAAATTGAAAGGATAAATAATAAATGAAAGGGACTCACCAAATTCCAGCAACAAGTTTATATATACCAGTTTTATTACTGCTTTCGGCTCCAATAGCCACATCAACGGTTCCAATAACCAAATTTTCTTAATCTGAGAAATAGGTAAAAAGTACCTCTTACGACAAATCTTGAACCCAATATTCAAGATTTGCTTCCACAAATAAACCAAATGTCAGTTCCAATAAAGTATTCAGGTAGTCTTTAACAGCCAATAAACACGACTGCACTGTCCTCCTAGTGTATAAAACCATTAATTTATACACAAATATCCATTAAGTACCTAGCTAAGTCAAAGTTTTAAACACAGGAAAAAGCACGATTTACCCGCAATAAACACTACCCACATAACAGTGAAAGAACATTCATATTCTCGGAATATTCCCTCAAAGTTCTTTTTGGAATGTTCTTTTAGGAATGTTCAATGAATATTCTAAGATTGTTTCGATTGGAATATTCATTTTTGAACGTTCTATTTATGTACTAGGAATGTTGCTTCTATGCACCTACCTGAAAGATTGTGCTAAGAACCTACTTTATGTAACATTATTTGAATATTCTCATACGAACATTATTATTGTATCTTACGTCACTTTTTTGCTCCCACTGTTTACAGGCTTCCCATACTGAATTCCATTTTGCCTCCATTTTTGCGAGTGTGCCTGAAACAACGATGAGCTGGTCATCTCCGTAATATTGGGTGTCCGCTAGGTTATCCAGGTTTGTTCTTTTCCATATCTCGTTCGCATTGTCAATACGTCTGGGTTCGAGGCTTGACCCTTGCGGACATCCCCTTGTCATGCTCCGTCTGAGTGTTCCTGATTTCTGATATGATGGTTCTGTCCTGCATGAAGCTTTGGCAGATTGCTCGGCGGGTTTCTGGCCTATTAGCCATCTTTAGCTCCTCGCTGACCTTTGGTCCCCATGTCGAGTTGAAGGCATTTTCAAGGTCTATACAAATTACGGTTCTTTCTATATGTGTTTGTAATCTTTTGTTAAGTATCTTGTCCAATAATTTTCCAGTGTTAGTAGGAGACTGATTGGCCTTAAGGTGCTGCTCTTTTCAGGAACCCAGATTATATTCGCGGCGTTCCAAGTCTTAAGGAAGTAGCCCATTTCTAGGCAATCCCTGTAGATACCACCCATTATCTTTGGTATTTCCGCGAATATATTATGTTCCATTACCTCATTTGCTATTTTATCCGAGCTTGTATTGCTTTCTTATTTTTAAGGGTAGCAATGATGTCTCCTTGTGGTTTATCTCCGTCTCTGTTGCACCGTTGTAAGGTTTGATTCTGCTCCTGGTGATGTTTTCGTTATCGTGTTCGGGGTTGTCTTCCGGGAAATACTTTTTTAATAGGTAGTCATTTGTTTCGTTTTCGGTCGTCGTGTATGTGCCATCTTCATTCTGTATGTTCGTTGATGCTTCACTGTCTTTTTTTTTGCACAGAAAATTCTATAGGCTGAGAGTTTGCAGGATTTTCGACTCTCGATTGTATCAACATCAAATTTGCATCTTGAGTCGCTTTTTTGTATTCAATTTTGTGGGCTCTGAATCATTCTAACATTTATTGCTTTCTGTCGAGTTTCTTTCTTTTTGCCACTCTATCCGGCATCTTTTAGCCTTATTTCTCATCTTATGCAGGTTCTCGTTCCACCATTACCATCATTACTTTCATCCACCGTTTTGCGTTAATGCAGCTCATTCGGGTACAGCGTTTTATTGACTTTTTGAACTGAAATAAAAACTTCTTAATGCTTTTTTGTGGGTATACTGAACTAATCTGAGTTGTCAGATGACCATCAGTCAGAGCAAAATTTACCAGAGTAAGTAATTTATACTTTATTACTTCATGTTTTGTTCATATAGAACAAAAAAATGTTTTTGTTTTTTTGGCGAGATCATAAATCTCGCCAAGTTGAAGTTTTAACTTCTGTTGTGTGGTCTCCAGCCCAGACTGTAATTTTATCCTCACGAAAAAGGTTTACGAAACCCAAAACTAAAAATCATAATTCATAAAATAATGTGTTACACATGGAAACTAATTAACCCAAAATATACCCGTGAAATCGCGCCTTGGCTAGTAAAATTCGATACTGTCGTGTTGTTTTGTCCCATAAATCAAATCGCCGAGGCCAAAAGGGACGAAACAGAAATTTAAAATGTAACTGAATGCCTGGGTTTCGAATTCAGTCTGTGACCCCTTGTTATGTCTACCACAGTCCAATGCTCCAAATCACGGAAAATGGATGCTGTAGTAGATATTATTGAAGACAGAGAACATACCTATAACATCAGTAATAATGCATCTATTGGTTAGAAATCCAAATTGGTGAGTAATTAAGATGTTAGAAGCCAATATTTTAATGCTTTTGGATAAACTACTGGGAAGCAGTGCAATTGGAGGATAGTTTGATCTTAATTTTTTCAAGTACTTATATCGGTATTTAATGATAGGTCTTGTGCACAAATTAAGTAAATCTCAGCTTCATTTTTCTGTACATTTTTCAAGAGATTTATTCGCACCCTTTATCATTATCAAATGTCATTGAAACCCCCTTTTCCCAATAAACAATTTTCAAGTTCTCTCTTGTATTAATCTAAATTATAGTAATCTACTCTCATATTAGCTATTATATTGCACGGACCCAATGAACTAGATAATTGCAGTCAATTTATGGTAAATCGTATAGTACCATCGACCACGCCTTAATTTTAATGAAATTTTGTAATATTGTTTCAGATACCAAGTACCTGTTAGCCTGCGTAAGAGATGATACACTGAAATTGATTGATTTGAGGATGAATCAAGTTGTTAAAAATTTTAGGTAAGTCGATACCACTTTAATATTCATTGAACGGTTTTAAAGTACTTACTACCAGGTTTTTTTGTTTTTAAATTATTTTAAATAGTCATCTTTTGGTAGTACTTGCAAAGCAAAACCAATACTTAAGTAGTTTGTCTTTGGTGACAAAAATAAATTCAAAGCTTGTATTTTTAGGTATGAATCATGGAAAAACGTGGAACATTCGCATGCTAAATCTATATTTCGGTAAAAATAAAATCTATAGAATAGAGTACAGTACTAAATCAGAATTTATCGTAGATTTGCAAAAGTGTCTGTGACTTATTAACAACTCGTTTATGTACTGTCTCTAGGTATTTATGTGTTACTTGTTTTATAATTTAATACTTTTTCCGAAAATCTTATTAAGCACAACAATTTTTACAAGTCTTCTAATCGAGTTGAAAAATGTGTATCATCAATCTTGGGTATATAGGATGTGGACTTCAGTCGTCAAACTGTTGCTTGGTTAGCTAATTAACTACTTAATTAAATGGCTTGGAACCAAATAGAATTTATTGACTTCACATTTTCCGTCTAGCACAATCTAGACTAGCAAAGGCTCATTAGCACCTCTAAGTAAGTGTCTATTAATAAACAAAGTCTAACGAATTACCACGTCAACTGCTGACGCTAGGTAGCTTATAAATATAATTCCATCAACAAAGATTTTCACATAGTAAATTTCGAAACTCGGCAAAAGTGCCTGGTTTATGTTAGGATTTATATGACATAACTGAAACATGATAAATGAGCCTTATAATTTATTCAATTATGGTATTTGGAAAGGTAAAACGGGTTAAATGGTTTTAAACCGGCGGCTATAATAAGTATAAGGTAGTTGTTAAAGTGTGGTTTACTTTGGAAGATAATAACTTTATTTAAGTAGACAGAAATTTATCATAAAAATAATAATATGATGGTATGGATTGTGTAATAGAACTACATGCTTTATATGGTCACATGAAACCATTGGTCATTGATAAAAAGTAGTCAAGCTATAAATGACATGTGATTACTGCCTTATAAAGTCAAAGTCTGGATAAAAAGAAACCTTTTTGAGAGGCTATGGGTATTAGGGTAATAGTTGATTGCCTACATAAAAAAAAAACGCCAAATTGGGTTACAAGCATGAAATTTGGCATAGTTGTCAGGAAGCACATTTTAAGAGATCTGACCCGATTAGCCAGGCTCTACGACGCTCAAGACCCCCAATCTCGCAATTTTTTTCAAAATGGCGGACGGGAATTTCATTCAAAATTAATTTAATTGGGCATGATTATACATTTTTTTATATAATTTGAGGTGAAGGAATTCAAAAAAAATATTTTCAAAACGATATGACTTTCAGTAACCTTGAAAATTACAGATAAATTTTAAAATAATTTCAATATAACATGTTTGAAACCGCCAATAGAAGGGTGTTAAAAAGCAAAAATGATTGCTTAACATAACATACAACTTAAAATGTTAATTAAAGACAAATAGTTTTTTTTTAATAACAGATCAGCGGTCTCTGATGCGGTAGTACTGAGGTATATGAAGCAATGTCATTACCTAATTTTTCACAGAAATGTTTCAAAGTATCATATGAAGGCTGCAAAATTTTTTTTTTCAGAAAAATTAGGTACTACCTACCATACAACAGTTTTTTCAGGTTAAAAAGCGGGAGAAAATAAAACACAAACGCTTCATCTTGTTTAAACATCGACTGTTGACTGTTATAGGAAAAACAGGGTTGCCGTTTTCATTCGATAAATACAAGAAAGTAACTACTAACGACATCTGTTAGTTTACAAATAGATGACATATAATGAATCAATTATTTGATACATCATTTACAACACCCCCACTTATCAAATAATTTTGAAACCCTAAATCGGATACAAACTTAGAATGCTTGACAGCCTTCAAACTTTTAGTGAGGATATCAGCCACTATTTCACCAGTACATAAATACTTAATTTTAATCAATCCATTTTACAAAGTTTCTCTTATGAAATGGTGCCTGATGTCAATGTGTTTGGATCTGTCATGGAATACTGGATTGCTACATAGTTTTTGAGCACCTTGATTATCATTCGTAAGAGTTATGCATTCCAATTTTCCAGTTAGCTCACTCATCAAATTTTGCAAGTAAATGGCTTCTCTTGATGCCTCACTCAAAGCCATATACTCAGTGCTGGACAGTGCAACTGTCCGTTGTTTGCTGCTTCTCCACGAAACAGCAGCACCAGAAAGTTTGAACACAAAACCAGTGTAAGATTTTCTGTCGTTCTTGTTAGAACCCCAAACAGCGTCTACATATCCACGTAAACCCTCATTGTTCTTTTTAAAAACAAGACATTGACTCTTTGTCCCCTTCAAAATTCTAAGCACCTTTTTGACACATTTCCAATGATATTCAAGCTATTTTTGGGTTCGAAAAAGGACGGTTCTAGAACGGTTCAAAACAAGCACACAGTTCATCAATCAACAAAATGACAACAGCTCAGCTATCACAAATTTCAATACTAAACTGTGCGATTGTTTTGAACTGTTCTAGAACCGTCCTTTTTTCGAACCCGAAAATAGCTTCAGTGTGATTATTATTGAACTGACTCAAAAAACTTACACTGTATGCAATGCCAAGGCGCGTCAATACAGCTAAAAACATCAAGCTTCCTATCAATTTTTGATACAATGGATTTTAATATTTTTCATTTGAACTACTTTCGGAAAAATCAAAATTGTCAATTGGCGCACTGACACTGTTACAATTTGTCATATTAAATTTATCAAGTAATTTATCAATATAAGCACTTTGATCCAAAACAAGAACATCTTTGTTTCTGTGAATTTTCATACCAAGACACAGCTTTAAATTACCCAAATCTTTAATTTTGAAATTAGAATTTAATCGGTCTTTCAAAAAATCTGTTTCATTCTTATTGTTTGAAAAAACTATAAAATCATCAACGTACAATGCCACAATTGTTGTTGAATTATTTTTCTTCAATATATACAAACAAGGTTCATAATCATATTTTTTAAAATCCAATCCAATTAATACTTCATCAACCATCTGATACCAAGCACGTAAAGACTGCTTCAGCCCATAGATGGCCCTTTTTAATTTGCAAACTTTATCTTCATTACCTTCAAAGACAAAACCTTGAGGTTGTTTCATAAATACAGTTTCCTGCAAATAACCATTAAGCAAAGCAGTCTTTACCTCTAAGGGTGGGTATTATAAAACTACTTTGAAAGTTAACTTAAAGTTAACTTCTGGAATTACATGTAATTCAAAAAGTTAACTTCAAGTTAACTGTCAAAGCAGTTTTTTAATACCCGCCCTTAGTGTGTAATATCGAGGTTGAGTTGAACAGCAAGAGCAAAAAGTAAACGTAAACTTGAGCACCTTATCACTGGTGCAAACGTTTCCTCATAATCAATGCCAGCTTTTTGCGTAAAGCCTTTTGCCACTAAACGCGCACGATAACACACTTCATTGTCCTGATTTAGCTTCTTTTTGAAGACCCACTTACACTCGACCACAGTACCACTGCTGGGACGCTCAATTAAATACCATGCATCATTTTCTCTGAAGAACGCCATTTCCTCTTCCATAGCTTGCCGACAAGAATCAGCTTCTGATCCAGAAAGAGCATCCGATGCATTTACAGGAACATCATCCATGTTTATGTTGTTTTGTCGAACTTGAAAGGTCACATAATCTTCATATTGCCTGGGTTTATTTATACGGTTGGATTTCCTTTTAGTCTCGTCCGAGGTTTCAGAAATTTCTTCATATTCTGGCAGAAATTCAGGGTCATTTAGGTCAACAGGATCCTCTGAATTATTTGAAGTATTACCAAACAAATCAGTCTCATGTGAATCTTCCAGAAATTGGCCATTCTCATCCTGGTCCCCCACTGGAACTGTTACGTCTTCATCCGACAGACTTTGTTCACAAATGTCTTTCGGGGCATTTGCTGACTTTTTAACAATGATTACATCACGACTAGTGATAATATCGTTTTTCACTGAATCATATAGCCTGTATCGTATCCCTTGACATTTATTCCATAGCCAGCCAACCAAGATCATTTTTTCTGCCTTTTTGTCGAACTTTTGTCTTTTTTCTTTATTTACATGGACCATAACTTCGCTCCCAAAGACTCTTATATGACTCACGTGAGGTTTTTATTCATACCATGCCTCATATGGAGTTTTATTATCAAGCACTGTTGCTACTGAACGATTTCTGAGATAAGTAGCTGTTGCTATTGCCTCTGTCCAAAAATGTTTAGGCAACTTAGCATCAAAAAGCAAACACCTCGCCCTCTCAACCAGGGTTCGGTTCATTCTCTCGGAGATCCCATTTTGTTGTGGGGTGTACGGGTTTGTTTTTTTGATGAATTATGCCATGTTGATTGAGGAAATTATCAAATAATCAGGGATGCTATTTCTAATACAATTGTACTAGATCTAGCACTATCACGTTTCACCTAGTACGCTAGTACCTGTCTCATGAATCTAGTACAATTTGGATAAAGAGTCGAGTGTCGCTTTTCGCTCTGTACCGTACCCAAGTTCTGAGCTCTACTCTCTACTTGTGGGCTGTGTTCCACGTTCCAGGTCCCACTCCGGTGCGGCTAAAGTCAAACAAGAAATTGGCGTTTCGAATAATGGTTTCGAACGCACAAACACTTTTTTATTCTGTGATTCGACGTGTATCATGTATCGGGGGTTATTCGGCTACTCAGCCGATCAATAACAGAAAATGTTGAGGTTAACCCAGGGTCAAATACGCTAACTTGCCGTGAGAGCGCGGGTTAACTTTTTCCTGAAATAACTTTCGAGTTAACATTTGACCCTGGATAGATAAACACTTATCACAACTTTGACCCAGGGTTATCAGTAACTCATGGAGTAACCCTCTATTGATAAACCAGCCCTAGGTGAGTAAACAGCGAGGTAAACACATAACTTATACAATC